GTGCTTGACTAGGTGTGATTACAAACTGATGCTGCATACTCCAATATTGGCCTGACGTATATGGTGTAAAGAGTCTTGAACGATTTCTTACTGAGGTATCGGAACGCTATTCTTAGGTTTGCCAGACGCTCATATGCTGAAGCAGTTATTTGACTGATGTGCGCCTCAGGAGATGTGCTTGATATTGTGAGGTTTGCAGTCTTTGGCCACCTAGACTATACTCTGCCTGAGGCCTTCTTTACCCTTCCCCAGTCTTCATGACTTTGCATTTGGCAGGGTTAAATTCAAGGAGCCAGTTGCTGGACCAGGCTTGTAGCCTGTCCAGGTCTCTTTGTAGTAGTGTCTGATCCTCCTCCGATTTAATTCTTCTCATTAACTTCACATCATCTGCAAACAAGGACACTTCTGAGTCTATCCCTTCCGTTATGTCATTTACATATCCTAGGATTGACCCCTGTGGAACCCCGCTCGCCAAAGGTGCCCACTCTGACACCTCGTGGCGTACCATGACTCGTTGTTGCCTCCCTGTCAGGTATTCTCTGATCCATTGCAGTGCCTTTCCTGTTATGTGTGCCTGATCCTCTAACTTTTGCATTAACCACTTGTGAGGAACTGTGTCGAAGGCCTTCTTGCAGCCCAAGAAAATGTGTGTAGTGCCGAATAGGTAAAATTGGTCAATTATCCAAAACTCAATTAAAATTAAGTCCTTTCTAAAATTTTCTAATATTTTCTAAAATTTTCTAAAATTTTTCATTTATGTCAAAGTAAAACTTAATAATTTTGTACCATAAGAACCTTAGAAAAATTACCTGTCATTATTTTAACAAGCGCAATTTAATTTAGCCTAATCCAACTAAATATATTTCAGATTAGTTTACAGTATTTTTTTTCGTTAGGAACAGAATGGTTTGCAAAATTCCATAACTAAATTTTCACTTGCTATATTCGGGAAGAAGAGCGTTGCTAATTAAGCAGAAATAGCCAGTTTTACCTACTGGGCACGATATATATATATATATATTATATATATATATATATATATATATATATATATATATATATATATATATATATATATATATATATATTTATATTTAATCAGTAACAACATTGTGACTAGCCAAGGACTCGAACCCATGCCGTTTTGGCCCGCCTTATGATGAGCGAAAATCATATTAAGCCCCAACCCACAGGACCACGCAATCCTACAAGAATCAAGCACCCAGCAGAGCTAGGTGTTTCACCTTAATCCGAGGACATACGATGGTGTGGGTGCCTCTGATCTAATTTCATTCTACTCTCCTTTTGGTGTACTAGCCTCCACGAGCAGTATATATATATATATTATTGTAACCACGAACGAGTGGTATTGAATCAATAACAACAAATAATAATAATACGTCAAATAATAATATAAAGCAATATATTTTCATTTTACCTATTAATGAAAATATTAGCTATATAAAATTATATGAAAATAGATAACATACAAAATAGTTACTGCGTCCTTTCTCTGAGGTCGCACTACTTCGACTCCTAGCAGCCAGTGACCCTTTTCCTCTACTCAAAGCAGCCACGGGCCCTTGACTTAGGATCTTAGGCGCCACTGACCTTTGTCGCTCGGCTCCTAACAGCTACTTGCCTTCAATTTTGGCTTATAGCTGCCACTGGTTCTTGTCTTCGGCTCCTAAAAGCCACTGACCCTTATCTTTCGCTCCTAACAATCACAGGAACTTACCTTCCGCTCCTAGCAACCATTGTCCTTTTCCCTCGGCTCCTTGCAACCATTGGCCATTTGGCCTTGGTTCCTGGTAGCTAATGGCTCTTATCCACGGCTGCAAGCAGCCACTAACTCTTGTCCTCGGGTCCTAGCAGCCACTTGCCCTTGTCCTCGCTTCCTAGCAGCTATTGGCCCATGTCCATGGCTCCTAGTAGTTACTGTTTCTTGTCCTCGACTCCTAACAGCTACTGGCCTTTGTCTCGGCCACCACTCTGCTAGCTGATACTTTCCACCCGACCTAGTAACATACACATCACCAGTACAGCACAACTCATTACACCACCATACACAGGCCATACACACCTTCATACACCGGCTAGACATACCATCGTACACTAGCAATACACACCATACACTAGCCATACACACCATCATATACTAGCCATACACGCCATCATACACTAGCAATACACACCATCATACACTAGCAATACACACCATCATACACTAGTCATACACACCATCATACATTGGCCATACACAGCATCATGCACTAGCTATACACACTTCATCATACTCTAGCCATACACATAATGACATTCTGATTATGCACATCATACACTGGCCATACACAATGATTTTCTGATTATACACTTTATCATACACTTTTTACACACCATCACACACGACTATTTAACCCATCATACACTGATTATAGATTCCATCATACTCTGATTATATACTCCATCATACACTGATTATAGACTCCATCATACACTGATTATAGACTCCATCATACACTGATAATACACTCTATCACACACTGAATATACACTTCACATACACACTCAAAATACTGCAATCATATACGACCATACACATCGCCAAAGACTTTATACACATCATTATAAACCGCCATGCTCATCACCATATTCCTAATATTCACAAAATTATATACTCAAGATCATAAACTGCTTTACTAATGTTATTCACTGACTATATTACACTGACTCGACGGTCGGTCATACACTCATATCAACGACAGTTTCAGGGAAGAGAAATCCTGTGTCACAAACCTACTGGAGTTCTATGACAGGGTGACAGCAGTAAGACAAGAGAGAGAAAGAGAGTAGACTGAATTTTCTTGGACTGTCAGAAGGCTTTTGACACAGTTCCACACAAAAGATTAGTGCAAAAACTGGAGGACCAGGCAGGTGTAACAGGTAAGGCACTGCAATGGATCAGAAAATACCTGTCAGGAAGACAACAGCGAGTCAAGGAACGTGACGAGGTGTCAGAGTGGGCGCCTGTGACGAGCAGGGTTCCACAGGGGTCAGTCCTAGGACCAGTACTGTTTTTGGTGTATAACAACATGATGGAAGGAATAGACTCAGAAACATCCCTGTTTACAGATGATGTGAAGTTCATGAGAAGAATTCAACCGGACGAGAACCAGGCGGAGCTACAAAAGGATCTGTACAGGCTGCAGACCTGGTCCAGCAATTGGCTCCTGGAGTTCAACCCCACCAAGTGCAAAGTCATGAAGATTGGGGAAAGGCAAAGAAGACCACGGACGGAGTACAGTCTAGGGGGTCACAGACTACAAACTTCACTCAAGGAAAAGGATCTTGGGGTGTCTATAACACCGGGCACATCTCCTGAGGCACACATCAACCTAGTAACTGCTGCAGCACATGGGCGCCTAGCAAACCTAAGGACAACATTCCCACATCTCAATAAGGAATCGTTCAGGACCCTGTACACTGTGTATGTTAGGCCTATATTGGAGTATGCAGCACCAGTTTGGAACCCACACCTACCCAACAGTCTAAGGAAATTAGACAGGACTAGTCCCGAAGCTAAGAAGCATGTCCTACGAGGAGAGGTTAAGGGAAATCGAAATGACGACACTGGAGGACAGTTGAGATAGGGGAGATATGATAGCAACATATAAAATACTGAGAAGAATTGACAAGGTGGACAGAGACAATGTTCCAGAGATGGGACACAGCAACAAGGAGCCACAGTTGGAAGTTGCAGACTCAGATGAATCACAGGATGTTAGGAAGTATTTCTTCAGTCACAGAGTTGTCAGGAAGTTGAATAGTGTGGGAAGTGATGTAGTGGAGGCAGGATCCATACATTGCTTTAAGAACAGATATGATAAAACTCATGGAGCAGGAAGAGTGACCTAGTAGTAACCAGTGAAGAGACGGGCCAGGAGATGTGGCTTGACGCCTGCAACTACAGCTGGGTGAGTACTCATTCATACGCACCTTCTTACACTAACCATAAACACCACCATACACTTGCCATACACTCTATCATACAATTGTCGTGTCGAATAGGTAAAACTTGCAATTTTAGCTCAAACAGCATCTCTCTCCTTACCGAATAAGGCAAGCGAAAAAATTTGTATGCAATAATTTCGCAAGAATCATTCTGAACCCAACGACAAAGAATATATTTCATTGTGTTTGTTTGTTTTTAAATTATTGTAAACTTATCTAAAAGATATTTAATTGGATTAGGCTAAATTAAATTGAGCTTGTTATAAGGTTAGGTAAGTTTTCTAAGGTTCTTTTGGTACAAAATTATTAATTTTTACATTAACATAAATGAAAAAAATGTATCTTTAAACATATAAGAGAAAATTTTGGAAAGGACTTAATTTTAAATGAGTTCTTACTAATTGACCAATTTTACCTATTCGGCACGACACAACAAAAATACGCACCAAATTACACTGATCATTTATACCACCATTCATTCACTGTACGCAGCACCATACACACACCACGTATTTCATCATACAATGATTGTACAGACGATCATTCAGTGAAAATAAACGCTGTAATACACTAAACATACTCACCATCATACTCTGACCATACATGTAATCATACACTTGCCATACCTTTCATTATACACCTACCACACACTACATCATACAGTGACTATAATCATTCCAATAATTCAGCCTCGGTAATAATTCTGAGTGTGTTCAATGAAGAAATTTCTCCTGGTATAAAAGTTAGGTATAATATTTAGTTTTAAATCACATATAAACTCCTAATTTTACGAAATTTATTGAATAATTAGTGGCTTTTATTGTTTTTTTGTACTACTGTTTTGTACTAATTCACTATATCTACTGCATTAAATTGAATGGCTCGGAGAAATAAAATTATTTTTATTATTATTATTATTATTATTATTATTATTATTAATTATTATTATTATTATTATTATTTAACAGTAAGAAACGTTAACCCAGAGATGGTGTACTGCTGAAATTAGTGAGGGTAACGTAGTTACAATTATAGATATTTATACATTGTGTGCATTTTCCTTCATTCTGAAAGGTTCCATAGAGCAAAGTTTCACTAAGCCCAGTGATGTAGAGACATCCGGAGACCAAGGAAGTTCAGATCACTTGCCAGGTAACTGTTCAAGGTGTAAAGACCCAGCTTTCCACTACTTCCATACACAGAACCAACACAGCTACTGTGTGACCTATAAGTAGGATCACAAACATGCCCTGTAATGAAAAGGGAAAGAGATATTTACACTGTGTACATATACAGACAAACTACGAGGGGTGGAAATCTTAAGCTCAAGCACTTTCACACCTCTCAGTGCGTCATCAGGAGCCATGCAACGTTGCAAGGGCAGCAGCAGGAGAAATAACTGGAAGTTCTTCAGAGTAAAACCCCCGTGGTTTGTCTTGCATTGTCAAAATCGCCTTTCTGCGATTGCTTTTATTATATATATATATAAATTTTATATATATATATATATATATATATATATATATATATATATATATATATATATATTTTTTATATATATATATTCATAACAACACTGCAACTAGCCGAGGATTCGAACCCATGTTGTTTTAGCCCGCCTCTTGGTGAGCGATAATTCCATGACGCTCTAACCCGCGGAACCATACAATCCTACAAGAATCATGCACCCAGCAGAGTTAGATGTTGTACCGCGATCCGAGGACCATGCACCCAGCAGAGTTAGGTGTTGTACCGTGATCCGAGGACATTCGATGGTGTGGGTGCTTCAGAGCTCTGAGGCACCCACACCATCGAATGTCCTCGGATCACGGGTGCGTGATTCTTGTAGGATTGTATGACCCGGTGGGTTAGAGCGTCATGGAATTTTCGCTCACAATGATGCGGGCTAAAACAACATGGGTTCGAATCCTCGGCTATTGCAGTGTTGTGATTGATTAAATACCACTTGTTGGTGGTTACAACAATATATATATATATATATATATATATATATATATATATATATATATATATATAAATATATATATATATATTATATATATATAATATATTATATTAATATGTATAGGGAAGTACCACCTCTATAGCTGGAATGGGGACCATCATCCTCAGAGAAGACAATAAACGTACCTCAGGGAAAACTCAAGGTTCTCCCCGGAGCTATTTGAATATTTTCTTCTCCTACCAACCCTATATATTTTATATTCTATGTGAACATTTATTAATAAACAAAATACATTTACAGAAAAAAACATAAACATGAATACAATGGCACAATGTATCAAATATCATGAATTTCCTCTAGCTCCTCCGAGGCTGGACGTGAGCCAAGTATGCAGCAAGCATTTCCCCTCTGGATGGCGATGCTGAGGCGCTGGAACATGAAAGTGGCTGCCCTTGGGTCCCTGGTGGTGTCGATGAGTCTGGAACCCGTGTGGCATTTTTTCCCCATGATCCCAAGGTCTCTGATCCCACTAGGACAAATTGATACTGTTGGCTAATGTCCCTGTACTTGCTGATTTTGTGGTCAGCAGCTCCTCCCTGTCGCCCCACACTGTGATGGATATAGGTGTCAGCCAGTGTGAACACACAGGTATAGTCCCATGCTAAGAGCTTGCCATTCTTCCAAGGATAGATGGTGATCCCGTTGCGGCGGTTTGCTGGGTTGTAGGTATTGTTGGCTGCTAGTGATCGGGGCTCCCTCTCGGCAGGGCATCCAGCTGTAGCAAGGGTTCTCTTAATGATGTCCTTGACTCATTGTGTCTTGCATGCCAGCCCTTGGTTTTGGAACAGTTAAGACCATGTAGACCGTACTGGTCTGCTTGCACTTCGCCGCAAATACACATGTATTCTGTGTGAATTGGGGCAGCAAGGCGCAGAGCCACTGCAATACGGAGGGTCTTAGGGTCGAGTCGCGTTCCTATTGCCGGTATGGGAACTGTTTGGAGGAAGTCCCCGGAGTGAGGTGCACTCACAGCCTGGAGAAGGGCAATCTCCCTATCTGATGTTGCAGTCCTGAGCATGTTGGCCAGCACCTTTTCAACATTGGGCCATCCCAGCTTGACTGTTTCTGAGCCAGTGCTGCACTAGGGTTTGGTGCTGGAGCAGCAAGAGTCTCCCATTCGGTGATGGCACTGGCATAGCTAGGGTCTTCTATTCCTGCTGAGTCACTGAGGGTGTCAGGAAGAATTTGTCTTATCAACTCGTTTGATGCTATGGAAGAGGATAGGAAAGCTGGTAGAGCAACCTGGGAGGATCTGCGTACTTCTAGCCCTCCAAGCCTGACCGGAAGTGAGGCTTGCAACCACTGTCCATCGTCAAGGAAAAGATTCAATACACTCTCTAGCATGGCCTTCAGGAGAGAGTCATATTCCTTGAGTTTTGGACTGCTGAAGGCTGGGGAGCATCTCAGAAAATAGGTAAGTTTTGGGATTGATAAGCACCTGGTGAGTAGGTAGAAGGCATCGTGTGTGTCAATGTCTTTCATCCTGCCTTCCATCGTCCTGAGGTCTGATACTTTTTTTTTCTAGGATCAGATCGATGACATTGGACCCAAGAGGAGCACCAAGGAGAGTGCTATTGGCTGGATCAATGGCTCGTGCTCCTGGTAAAACGGCACTAATATTCTGGATCATCTGTTGATTGGTAGAAACTATTTCACATTTAGTGGGGTTTAAAGAAAGGCCCAGGCTTTCTCCCATGTCTTTAATTTTACTGATGTCCTCCAGGAGAGATTCTGTTGTGCCAGCCAGGGTACCGTCGTCCAGGAACCAGATATTGAGCTCGCTGGAGAGTGCCTCCGTGACTTCCTTGATGACCAAACAAAATAGAAAGGGGGCGAGAGGGTCCCCCTGTTGCACGCCCTCACATGAGTCAATTTCATGGTCCCCAAACAATAGTTTGGAAGTCACACTATAACACGATTCTATGAAGGGATAAAGGGAAGGGAAGTTTCTATAAACTGCTTGGAGAGCAGCATCCCTTCTGACAAAGTTGAAATCGTTGGCAAAGTCCAATTTGACCAAGGCTTTTTCATCGTACATGTTTTTGATATATACTCGTGCTGCGTGGGCAGCTGCTTCACAGCCCTGTTGAACGCCGAAACCGAGCTGAGTTGGTTTCAGCATTGCAGCAGCCTCTTGACTCACCCTTCTTACTGCAGCCTTGGCGACTAGGCGCCGAAGGGTGTTACTCACTGCAATGGGCCTGATTCCGCCATCCTTTTTCCGGAGGGCACACAATGAGGCACCAAAGAAAAGGGGTCTGATCTCCTCTGGGACACTGCTAGCCAGGCACAGGTTGGAAAATTTGGTGAGTTCAGACAGCAGCCTCTCTGAAACCTCACCAAGTGCTGGATTGAAGTATATATATATATATATAATATATATATATATATATATATATATATATAAATATATATATATATATGCAATAAGATCACAGTAAACAGGTGATTTCAAAATATGCAAAACAACCACTCTGAAAGAATAGAGAAATTCCAAGCGCTTTCGTGACTACTCACATTATCAAGCGCTTGGAATTTCTCTATTCTTTCAGAGTGGTGTTTTGCATATATATATATTATATATATATTATATAATATATTATATATATATATATATATATATATATATATATAATATATATATATATATATATATATATAATGAGAGAGGGAGAGAAAGAGAACGAGAGAAAAAGAAATACACGCAAAATTATCTGTGAATGTTATTTACAAGGTGTTTTACCCATAGGTTGGTGAGAGAGAGGGACGAGCTGACTGTTATCTTGTTTGGTGAGTATACACAGGAGGTAGCATTTGGCACCACATACTTGAACCACAGATCGTATAACCCAGCCTCTGTCAACGATATCATTCTGACAAACACAACACAGAAATTAGTGTACATTACAAGAAAATAATTTATTTTTTTCTTATCACAGACTTTTGGTGTATTTTGAGTTATAATATAAAAAATTTGTTCTTAATTGGTATTTGCCTTGTAAAGCATTGTAATGATTTTATTAGTGAATGAACGAGCTATCACTTCCAGTTATCTATATTAGACACATTGTTTGATTCGTTTGTTAGAGATAAATAATTCATTGAATAATTCAATAAATTTTATAATTTTATGAGATAAAATTAACTTCCTAAAACTCGTTTAAGTATATAAAACTTTGTTTGCCGGTTTAATAATCACAATTTTATTTTAATCTTTAAAACACACACGCGCACACACACACACACACACACACACACACAAAACACAAACACACACACACACACACACACACACACACACACACACACACACACACACACACCACGCACGCACACACACCCCACACACACACAACACCACACACACACACGCACACACACACACACACACACACACACAACACACACACACACACACGCACACACACGCACACACACACACACACAAACACACAGAACTACAAAGGGATCTGGAAAGGCTGCTGGCCGGGTCCAGTAAATTGCTCCTGGAGTTCAACCCTACAAAGTGCAAAGTCATGAAGATTTGGGAAGGGCAAAGAAGACCACAGGCGGAGTACAGTCTAGGGGGGCCACAGATTACAAACCTCACTCAAGGAAAAGCATCTTGGGGTGAGTATAACACCAGGCACATCTCCTGAGGTGCACATCAACCAAATAACTGTTGCAGCATATGGGCGCCTAGCAAACCTCAGAACAGCATTCCGACATCTTAATAAGGAATCCTTCAGGATCCTGTACACCGTGTACGTTAGGTTTATATTGGACTATGCAGAAGCAGTTTGGAATCCACACCTAGCCAAGCACGAGAGGAACCTATTGAAAGTGCAAAGGATTGCAACAAATCTAGTCCCGGAGCTAAGGGGCATGTCCTACGAGGAGACGTTAAGGGAAATCGACCTGACGACACTGGAGGACAGGAGAGATAGGGAGGATATGATAACGACATAGAAAAGTAACGTATATCATTTATTTAATACACAAATAGCTGCTCATAAGAGAGAGAAACTGATGAGGACGTTTGAGTCCGACTTATACCATTTACAACATACGAATGTGAATGAGCAAGAATGTATAGGAGAAGGAGACAAGGACGGGACAAAGAGAGGAAGAAAGAAGGAAGTGGAGAAGTAGTGGTAGTTAGTAGTAGAGGCAGTAGTAGTAGTAGCATCAATAATAAGTAGGGAGAGTAGTGGTAGACAGAAAGGGAACGAAGAGAGGTATGTAGTAGTAGTAGTGAGGTATTATAGTAGGAGTAATGGTAGTAGCGTAAAGGAAGAAGTAGGTAATGGGTAGTGAGTAGTTGAAAGTAAAAACAGTATAAATGACATTATTTCCATGAGATTCGGATAAATCGCGGATGCTTATAGCAAAATCAGTATTAATGATATATTATTTCAATTTGCAAGATGAAATTCCCCTGTATGGCAAGACATCAAGTTTTAATTGGGTGATATTTGTAGAGGACATAGAACTGAAACTAGATGGAGGACGGGAAGTCAATGTTAATCAGCATTAGTAGAAGATAAAATGCCTAGTAATCTAGATGGTGACGAAAGAATTAATCATATTAGATGAATACCTTATACTTTCCCTAAGAAGTGAATTCTTCTCACAGTTTTCTGATCCATTCAGAACAATTCCTGCCTCTCTGAGAGAGGCACAGGCGGACGTGAAACTGTTTCCTGAAGAAATACATGACACAAAATTGCAGAAACTTCACTAGAAGATAGAATACAGCATGTATATGAAACATTATGTATATATATAAAATAATCTAGAAATTTAATAATTATGAATAAATTATATACATATATATATATATATATATATATATATATATATATATATATTATATATAATATATATATATATATATATGTCGTGCCGAATAGGCAGAACTTGCGATCTGGCTTAAATAGCAACGCTCATCTTGCATATAAGACAAGTAAAATTTGTGTATGCAATAATTTCGCCAAAAATTCTGAACCTAACGAAAAAAATATGTTTCACTGAGTTTGTTTAGTATTAAATTATTGTAAACAAATCTAAAATATATTTAGTTAGGTTAGGCTAAAATAAATTGTTCTTGTTATAATAAGGTTAGGTAAGTTTTCTAAGATTCTTTTGGGCAAAATTATAAAATTTTTACATTAACATTAACGAAAAAAAATATATCTTTAAACGTAAGAGAAAATTTAGAAAGGACTTAATTTTAAATGAGTTCTTTGCTAATTGACCAGTTTTACATATTCGGCACGACATATATATATTATATATATATATATATATATATATATATATATATAATATATATATATATATATATATATATATATATATATATATATATATATAATATTTTATATATATAATAATAACAAGGCTTAATTACTCCATGTGAGACTACGACACTTAAGGCGATTCAAAACATTTCTATAGGAATCCGGCTTCAGGTTATACTACACGATGGCCTCAATTATAAATGAATCGAGTTTGAATAATTCAAAACTATCATTATTTTAGGTCAGTGGTTCGAATTCTCGTCTATCCTTCTGAATATTCATATCTTATATGATCACATTTCTTTTCTCTTTTTTTTACTGAATCTAATTTTGTACTACTCTCTGCTGTACTAACTTTTTTCAACACTGAAAACATCTTTTGATCATATCACCTGTGTTAGTGAAGTACTGTCCGATAAACACAGTTATAACGATCTCCAGATCCATCAAGACGTGGTCGCCTCTCCTCACTAGTGTGTTGATAGCTTGTGGGAACTCGGAGAGCAATTTGTACGTGATACGTCCCTTGATCTCTGAATCAGCTATTTCACGAAAGATGCCGGACTCAACGGACTTTAAGGAGAAAAAAAATGATCACTGGTAATACTGGCTTTAATTTTCGATTATATATATATATATATATATATATATATATATATATATATATATATATATATATATATATATATATATATATATATATATAATAGATATGAGAGAGAGAGAGAGAGAGAGAGAGAGAGAGAGAAGAGAGAGAGAGAGAGAGGAGAGAGAGAGAGAGAGAGAGAGAGAAGACAGACAGACAGACAGACAGACAGAGAAAGATTGCGGTCAGCAGGATTCGAACCTACTACAAGGAGACCGGCATTGTTCTCTAAGTAACGCTCTAGACCACTCAGCCACAAATGCCTCAAAAGCTGGGAAGCCTGGTTTACAAGCCATAGCTTGTAAAGAGGGGAATAGACTCAGTAAGTAAGAGAGAGGTGAAAGTGTATGAACTATAGGAGGAGGAGGTTAGGGTAAGATATATACAGCTATTGGGACAAAGATGGGCTAGTGAGAGTACAGGCATTGAGGTTGAAGAGGCGTGAGGTAAATTTAAGAATGCAGTGTTAGAGTGTTCGGCAGAAGTTTTTGGTTACAGGAAAGTGGGTGTGGGAGGGAAGAAGAGCGACTGGTGGGATGATGAGAAAAAGTTAGCATATGAGAGATTTCTACAAAGTAGAAGTGATACAAGGAGAGAGGAGTATATGGAAAGAAAAGAGAGGTTAAGAGAGTGGTGAAGGAATGTAAAAGAAGACCAAATGAGAGTGTGTGTGAGATGTTGTCAACAAATTTTGTTGAGAATAAGAAAAAGTTTTGGAGCGATATTAATAAGTTGAGAAAGTCTAGTGAAGAAATGGATTTGACAGTTAAAAATAGGAGAGGATAGGTATTAGATGGAGAGTTAGAGGAATCGTATAGATGAAGGTAATTTTCTAAGGGACAGAGAAGCTGTGATTTCGTATATGTGCCAGGGAGATGTAACATCTTGTAGGAGTGAGTGTGGAGAAAGTGCGTGAGGTAGTAATAGAATGAAAGGGGTAAAACAGCTGGGACTGATGAGATAAAGACAGAAATGCTGAAAGCAGGTGGGAATATAGTTTTGGAGTGGTTAGTAATTAACTTCATAAATGTATGGAAAATGTAAGGTACTTAGGGTGTGTACGAATGGTATACGTCTTGTGTCTTACGTATGTGTCTTACTCTCATCAAGGTACTTAGGGATTGGCAGAGAGCATGCATAGTTCCTTTCCATAAACGAAAACGAGAAAAAGTCTAAAAATTATATAGGAATAAGCCGGTTGAGTATACCTGGTAAAGTATATAGTTGAGTTATTACTGAAAGAATTAAGAGTAAGACGGAGAGCAGGATTGCAGATGAACAAGGAGGTTTCAGGAAAGGTTGGATGTGTAGACCAAATGTTTCCAGTGATACATATAGGTAAAGAGGTTTTTGGGGCATGTATGGATTTGGAAAAGGCGTGTGATAGGTTGGACAGACACAACACACTAAAATGCACCACCAAACACAACACACTAACATGCACCAACAGACATAACACTAACATGCACCACCAGATACAACACACAAACATCCACCACCAGACACAACACACTAACATGCACCACCAGACACAACCACACTAACATGCACTCACCAGACACAACACACAAAACAATGCACCACCAGACACAACACACTAACATGCACCACCAGACACAACACACTAACAAGCACCACTAGACACAACACACTAACATGCACCACCAGACACAACACCAACATGTACCAACAGACACAACACTAACATGCACCAACAGACACAACACTAACATGCACCACCAGACACAACACTAACATGCACCACCAGACACAACACCAACATGTACCAACAGACACAACACTAACATGCACCACCAGACACAACACTAACATGCACCAACAGACACCAACACCAAAATGTACATAACAGACACAACACTAACATGCACCACCAGACACAACACTAACATGCACCAACAGACACAACACTAACATTCACCACCAGACTCCCACAACAAACCCACATGAAAGTACTGGACGTTAGCTGAGTTGGTCTGCCACAGCATGGTAACAGAGGGGTCGTCCAGCACGTCACGGATGCTCTGGTAGGGCTGCTGTATGTGTCTCACTGCCAGCGATGACATGAGGTTTCCACCATAGCTCTTACTGAGCACTAAGGCCATGATCACCCACCCACCAATGATCAACCTCTTCCACCATGCCAGCGCCCAAGTCCTGTAATCTTGATGAATGACAGAAGATAGAAAGTTGTAAAGCTATATTTATAGTTTTTTTCTGAAATATCTTTTCTGAGGTGTTTACAGTGGAAATTCTTATTACCGTTTACCTTATTTTTTTAGTTAGTAATTCAACTGCACATGTGCGCATCTGCCAAATTCATAAGAAAAATATAGTGGAAATTTTACTTCCGTTTTGTTGTAAACTTCTGCACTTTCTCTAATTTTTTGACCTGTTTGTCCAGGTGTCGGTTCCAAACTAGTGCTGCACACTCCAACATGGGCCTGACGTACACGGTGTACAATGTCGTAAATAACTCCTAACTTAGATATCGAAATGTTATTCTGAGGTTGCCAGGCGCCCATATGCTGCAGCGGTTATTTGATTGATGTGTGCCTCAGGGGATGTGCTCGGTATAAGACTCAACTCAAAATATTTTTCCTTAACTGAGGTTTGCAGCCTTTGTTCCCGAAGCCTGTACTCAGTCTGCGGTCTTCACTGTCCTTTCCCAAGCTTTGTAACTTCGCACTTGTTACGGTTAAACTCAAGGAGCCATTTGTCGGACCAGGCTTGCAGCCTGTCAAGATCCTCTTGCATTTTTACCTTGTCCTCGTCCGCTTTATTGTCCTCTTTAGTTTCACATCATCAGCTAACAGGGACACCTCTCAATACATTCCTTTCATCAGGCCATTCTCATATATAAGAATCAGCACCGGACCTAGGAATGACCTTTGTGGAGCCTCACTCGACACGTGGGTACAATCTAACCCTCATCACGTACCAACACTCGTTGTTTCCTTCCTGTCAGGTATTCCCTGATCCATTGTAGTACTTTCCCTACCATTTCTGCCTGCTCCTCTAGTATTTGAACCAGTCTCTTGTGTGATACTGTGCCGAAAGCCTTCTTCCAGGAAAAAAGAAGCAATCTACCCATCACTCTCTCTCTTGACTTCTCTGTTACTTTGTCGTAGAACTCAAGTAGATATATGACAAAAGACGTCCCATCCTTGAAACAGTGTTGATTGTCATGTATGAGTCCAGTCCTTTTAATCCTATGTATGTCAGTGACACTTGTCTGTTGTTCAATGCTGCCTGTTTGTCTCCCTAACAACTGAAACTGCATTTGCTGTCTTCCACACCTCAGGCAGTTGCCCTGTTACGAGAGATTTATTGAAGATTGCTGTCATTGATAACAGTATCAAAGACAATACAATCAGATCATTATATAACAGAAGTACAGACATGAATTCACAGGGCTCCTGACCAGCATAAGGAGATCAGGTATGAGGGTGCTTGCGCCAAATTCAACTTCAATAACAAAACCATACAGTGGGATCAAATCAACCGTGTCCAAAATGAAACGAGATAGGAAGATATTCTCGACAACACGGATCAAAACCTTTGACTAGAAACAATTAAGGCTATGGTACTTGACGTATACTCAAGGCACATTCCTGTAAGAAAAAAAGAAGAGAAGATGTAAACTAGAAAGAGGAAGAAGCTTCCTATACAATCGAAGGAGAATAATCACAGAGCTGCTGAAAGGGGCCAGTATATATGAAATACGAAAGGAGCCACTGGGCAGAGAAATAGCAAATATCGAACTTAAGCTTAAAGAATCTTACAGGAGACACGAATCTCAGGAAAAAATTAAAGCCATAAAGAAAATTGAAAGAAACCAAATATACTTCCTTTCTTATGCCAAATGTGGGACAAAAACAACATCCAGTATTGGACCCCTGCTTAAACGATATGGGACTTATATAGATGACAGTAAATAAACGAGTGAGCTACTGAATCTCAACATGACTCAACGTTTAGTGAGCAGTTAACCAGACTAAAGGTCGACAATCTATGTGAGTTTTTTATGACCGAGACTCAAATTCTGGTTATTTCAAAAATTTCTGATATTATCTTAACACCACAAGACTTTGAAAAAGAAATAAATAATATACCCATGCAGTCTGACCCAGACCTGTGGAACTCCACTGTGATCCCACCTCTTCCTGCCACATCTCCGGCCCTAAGCTGTACTTCCTACAAGATTGATGGACTGAACACATCGATTTCAGGCTGAGGGACTGATTACCTCACCTCCTCCTCTCCTTACACCCTTCTGCTTTGTATTGGACTGATGAAGCCACTGTGTGGCGAAACGTTTCTTCAATAAAGATTCCCATACGTTACATAAGTGTCTCAATCTTCAACTTGTCGGCTTTTTAAACCATTTATGATCACCTAGTTCTTGACTGTTGTTTTCCTCCTGATGTGTGTACATAGCAACTTTCGGTTATTATATAAACACATCAGGTGTCTATATAACAACTTGTTGCTCAACTTCTAATTTTCTAGAGACTTTTGACTTCTATATTTTTCCATTCTCTTACACACTTGGTTTTGACCTCTTTACATCCCAGGAAAATCAAGGACTTATTCTAATCTTTCCATTTTCTTTCCGGTTATTCCTTGGTATAAACTTCTCTATAACATAAATCCTCAATAAACATAATGATAAAAACGGGTTACGCTTCCTTAATTAATGCTTCTCGAATAACGTTTAATAACTTTATCCTTTGATAACAAGTTTAAATTCAAAAACTGTCCAAATCACTGATATCTATAAACATTAAATTTTTCGCTTTTTTTTTTTTTTTTGCTTATTTTGTAAAAGGTATTTTATAGTAATAGTAGTAGTAATAGTAGGGGTAATAGTAGCAGTATGAGTATTAGTAAAAGTAGAGGAATAGTGGTTAGAGTAGTAGAAATAACAGTAGTAGTAGTAATAGATGTTGTAGTAGTAGTAATAGTAGCAGGATTAGTACTTGTAATAGTAGAGGAAAATATATGGTAATAATTACATAAAAGTATTGGTAGTAACAGCAGTAGTAATGCAGCAGAAGTAGTAGTATTAGTAGTTGAAGAAGTAGCAGTGGTAGTCCCAGTAATTCTAGAAGGTGCTGACGATAGCAGTAGAACTACGAGTAGTATAATAAATATTTAGTAGAGAACTAGGACTAGTAGAATAGTACCACCAGTTGTAGTAACTACCAGGGTAATGGAAGAATTTATACTTTGTGCTTTAAAAAGATTATCTTAGACAAATTGTAGTGATAACGATTCCTGTAGACACATTTATCATTTAGAAGTGCCAATAAGATCATTATTTTTATTTAAAAAGTAAACATTCGGGATATATCTAACCTTGCTGTAATATTATTCGTGTCAGGTCAAAAATGTCCTTGACCCAGGTATGCTGATTAGTTTTGAAGGAGAAGCATGTAGACAGTAGCAGCATTGCAGCAGGCAGCATCATGAGCGCCCCCAGGGTGGCTGCCCACACAGGCAGCTCTAGAGGCAGCAGGAAGCCCCAGGGATCCACCATCGGCCTGCCTCGACTACCAGGATCCTGCAGTACTGTATCATCACTGGCCAGGTGAAGTCCACCACCTCACTGCGACTCTCAGAGAAACCAAACGGCTCAAGTGCAAAGTCTGCTTCCTGATTTTGGAAGTTGATGTGGACGATGTTTTATAAAAAAAAAATTGATGTATGAATACGCTTTACTATATATCATGTTACTACACTTTTGTATTATGTAATAAGTAATGTAAATTCTCAGGAAATATATATGATGCAATGGCTTAGGACTAATTAAATTAACCAATGATACTCAAGAGTTTCGCCTATTCACTGTCCTTCTCAACACCGCCCCCCCACCCACAAGCCCTGTTGCTACCCCCACCCACACGACCCCTCCTTCCCTCCAAAGCGACCCACCTGCCTCCCACCACGACCGCCGCCCACGCCCACCCTCTCCTGCTCACTGTCTCGCACCGTCATTGGTCCCTTCTCCTCAAACTGACTACCACCTCATACACCACCTCATACACCACCTCATACACCACCGTGCTGTGCTCTGCCACACAATATATGTAATAGTACTAAAACAGAATGACCTAAAATAGTTGAATATTAATTAGCAGAACGAGTATGCTGGGAAAATATGTTTACAAGTGCCCAGGGTGACCGGTTGCCACAGTCTCGGGTACACTTAGGTTTGAAGTAATTATAATTGAACCTGAATGGAGTTAATTACATTTTTGAGTAATTGTAACGAACTTTTAGATTCAACGGTAATTGCAATTGACTGTTCTCAAGCTAATACTTGTATTTTATTATGGTATAAAACTAAGGCACTAAGATGGGCTAATAACAAAATATATGTACTTGTTACATAATATAGAATTGTACATTCTGATGTGACTCACGTTGTTTGAGTCACGTATAGTACTTGTACTGTTGAGAGTTACGTTCGTGTGTCCCCTCAAGGGAGGTTCCTTGACGCTGGTGAGGGGCTCTTGATCTATGGAATTGGATCTGCGCTCCAGTTCCCTGAATTAAGCCTGAATACCTCCCATCCGCCCACCCACATGCACTGTATAATCCTCTGGGTTTAGTGCTCCCTCATGTTTATAATATGTGTGTGTGTGGGCTGTGTGACTGGTAGTCTGGGATCCTCCATCAGTCCGAGTCGTGACTTGTTTATGGTTGGGTGAATTGTTTCGTGAATAAAAATATAAGTTACACTTCTCTTGTGTCAAAAGTTTAGTTCGTTATGATTTTACCGAGAATCATTTTGAAAATAAAGTGAGACAGTAGGGGCAAAGTTCTTTTTTTTAAAAAACATGAAACCCCTATTTATAAATTCACAAACAGATAAGCAGTTATGAGTTTCTTGAATTATTCTGACTCAGTAACGGTTTTGGATGAGTTAGAAAATAAACGAGAAGAAATAATTCCTTGTTATATTTCATATTTATAGTAATAATAATATTCTGTGTGAAGTTCTATTCTAGTTGGTTCTCAAATTATTTTTGTATTTTATGCAGTTTCAAGAGAGCACAGGGGCCGGGAACTGTGACTCGACCCCTGCAGCCACAACTAGGTGAGTACAGAGCCAAGAAGGACATTGAAAGTAATGGAAGATAATGGAAATGGGGTTATTACCTCGCGAATATTAAAAATTTCCTATACTTGTTTTTAAATTACATTTTTCACAGTTGTTAAATAAATGATATTAATTAACAACATAGTCTGATTCCTGAATATTTATCATATAAGTGGGATTGAAGAAGATCAGAAATGTTATAGAATGTTGTTCAGTGTCATACATTCACGAAGTATGTAAAGTAAAAGGACACAAGTGCAACTAATGTGACATTTATTGTGGCAACGTTTCGCTCTCCAGGAGCTTTATCAAGCCATTATCAAGCTTGATAAAGCTCCTGGAGAGCGAAACGTTGCCACAATAAATGTCACATTAGTTGCACTTGTGTCCTATTACTTTACATATTGTCGGTAATTCTACCAACTTTATTACATTCACGAAGTAGACTGATAGTTCACTCAAGTGAATGTTGCTTGTGAGAAACGTATGCTTCTCCTTTAACACAATAAGGTCTTCGCTTATTGGTGGGTTTGAGCCTGAAGCAACAGCGTATTGAATAAAATAAGTTTGAATAAAACTATTTGCATACATTCGTGTTGCATCTTTTGCCTCGCAGTCTCATTCCTGTGTTTCGAGTTATGGATTCATTCAGCAGTTCAAATAGCTCTTCATGTTTGAGCTTATCAAAGCCATTCAACATTTTAATGGTATGAATGAGATCCTTCATTCTATTTAACCCTGGGAGAAAAGGGTTAAATGCCTTGAACCTTGACTAACGTAACGAAGTTGGTTTCTTTTTTCTGTATTCTCTTCACTATACCTTTGTATTTTGCGCGATTTGGAGGACTAAACCTCCTGGCAGATTCGAGATGAGGTCTAATGAATACTTTATATAGAATTATGTCCGAATCATGAAAATGCAGAGGCTTAATGACATACAATCATCATGCAGAGGCCACCAGAGATAATGAATCTCCCAACTTTGACAGACCTAAGTTAGATATTGGTATCATGGCAGCTTTTAAACAACGTTGGTTTAGTAGGTCGCCTTCTTTGATTGACTAACTAGCTTCATTCAGTATCAAGAGAAGCCCACGTTTACTATGATATATCACACATGCGTTGTTTCGAATGTCAAGGCTATATGAGTATTTATGTTCCATAACTCGCTGGCCAATAATTCTTGTTAATTGTTTAGTGCCCTGGAAATATTCCTGGCCACGTTACTGACAGAGAGGACGTATCTGGTGGCTGCTCTTTCTCACGTAGTAGTGTTAAAGATGTGGAAGGCGCAGTTTTAACAGTTTGAGATGAGGAATAGCGGGAAGTGAAGGTGCATATTTCCCGTGTTATGTAGTCACACTTCTCTTCGAGGAACTGTGAGCTGGAAATCCTGTGTGAATTCTCAAGAGTAATCCTCTCATGGTCCCGGAGTCACTGACTGAAAGTGTACGAGGTTGCCCTTGTGATTTGGTTTCCTATATATTTTAGAGAATAAATTGTCATTGCCTGCGTTTACGAAATCTATGAACGAAAGCTGGATGCTGCTTTCATAATCGATCGTAAACAGGATAGGAGGTTCCATCTTGTTGTTAGTATGAAAGATGGAGTGAATATGCAGTCTTCGTTGTAAAATTATTAATACAACGTCTAATTAATATAGCTAAGCTATGTGAATTTAATAATGATATACAATATCGACAAATTGATAAGTAAGACACATGTGTAACGTTTAGGTAGCTTTATTCCGAAACGTTTCTCCTACACAGTAAGCTTCTTCAGTCGACTACAGAGGAGGCAGCAAAACCTTCCTCTCTTTTAGTCTCTTCGTCTGTACTGCTTCTGCTGCCTAGGTATTCGACTCAAGAAGTCTACTGTGTAGGGAATACCAATATCTAACTGTTGTACATGTGTCTTATATAGTTATTTTACGTTCCTGTGATAGCTGGAATGACGTGATCTGGTTCGTGGTGCTCAATGGCCTTCCGTGCCACTTTCACCTTTCTGAGCACCATATCTACCATACCACGCACTCACACTTTTCACTACCATGTTCATCACGCTACACTCAGCCACCTGAACACTAAATCACCCTTACCACACACCCACTCACTCTTCTCAGTACTTGTCCAAAATGTCACACTCATCCTCCTGAGCACCACGTCCACTAGGCCACACACCTTCCTCAGAAATATATCTACCATGATTCATTCACCCTCCTCGGTAATATGTCCACCATGACACACTCACCCTCCTCAACACCTAGTCCTCCATGCTAAACTCATTCTTTTCTGTACCTTCCTCAGCATCATACTCACTATGCCACACACTTTCCTTAGCATCATACTCACTATGTCACACATCTTCCGTAGCACCATATTCACCATGCCATACACTTTCCTTAGCACCATACCAATCATTCCACAAACCTTCCTCAGCAAAATACCTACCATGCTACACACCTTCCTGAGCATCACACCCACCGTGTCACACCTTTCTCAGCACCATCACCATACCCACCATGCCACTCACACTTACCCTCCTGACTACCATGCCCACCATACCAGTCCAGGCTCCATCTTTCTGCTTGGAGCCAAACGTTCCATCAGTCGGAATTACATAGATGTACCTGTAGAAAGAACACCCGTCAGGCTCTGTCATTATGTATGTACTGAACACTTACAAACTTTAAAACTTTGTTTGAGGTGCTGAACGATCTAAATGCACAGTCACGTAGCAGTGTAGAGAGAAGTATGGCTTTCTAATGCAGGAAAATATCAGTATCGACAATCTGAAGCTGATCAGAAGGTACATTCACTTGAAAATCAATATCCCAATCTTTTTCCTGTCACCACTTGGAAAAGGTCCGGACAGGGCGATTATACCGGCGAATCTACAACAACAACAACTGATAAATTTATGCTTACACAACAGAAAAAAAGCAAATCCTATTCTAAATACGGTATGTGGAGGATTTTCTTAACTTACTGTGGTTGACTGACTCGTTATTAGAATCAGTCTGTCACCAAGGATTTGCCAGCTGCCCCACAAATTCTGAAGCCTAGTGACCATGCACTCCTCAATTTGGCTTTCTTGCAAAGTATACTCAACAGTGGCTACTTACCAATCTGAGGTACTTAGTGACACTTGGTATCTGGTCCATTATCAGACAGGGTGATCCAGTACACATAGTCACTGAATTGAGTGTAGAGCTGACATGTTGGCGCTTAGCTGCACGCGGTGAAAACACTTGAGCACCTCTGGGATTAACGCCCATTAATCTTTGAACCAATACCACTGTGCTTACATTAGGTCCCTGCCTACCTTGCACACGATTAGCGATGACAATATACTTAATGAACAAGGTGAGAAAATGATCTTACGTGGCCCCAGGTCTCGACTACCTCTGGACTCAGATTAAAGTCGTCAGCTCAATACACCCTTTAACTTTTTTTCCTGTTTGATGATGAGCGGTCATTGTATCTGAAATTCACCCATTTACTTTAAGTGACACCTAGCCCGTTTAACCTAAGGACGAGTAACACCCACAAGGTCACAGTTCACTCCTCTGACTGTGAATTCCTGCTTAGGTCCAGAGATCCATGAATCACTTAAGTCTTCGTTACTTTCAAATGGCTATCTTTAACTGGACTTCGAAGCGCAATTCAAATTACATGTCAGACATTAGGGTGGCCTGAAGTAGGCGTTTTCACACAAAATGTTAGGCTCGATTAAGACTGCCTTCTCCCGGTATTCAAACTGGACTAGGACGCAGTGCAAACTCTGCCTTAGGCTGCCAATGTTGCCAATAGTTAATTAAATGTTCTTGACATGTAAGAATAAAAGTCTCAATGACATTCATAAATTCAAAATTCTGAGACCAGAAGAGACAACGCCTCATTTTTTAATATTGAACCATTGAATATTTAAACATGGCAGGAATTATGAGATATAAGTATAAGTTAGTAATTTGAGGTATAATGGATAATGAGTGAGTACTGAAATCTCTGAGGGGGTGAGGATGGTTGGATTAGTACTTTAAGGAGCATTGAAGTCACTAATATTCAGTGCTTAGAACACATGCTAGGTATGGATCTCTACATTTCAGGGTTAAAAAATTCCTTGAAATATGAATCTTGGAGTTTTCTCCTAATCCGAAGTTTGAAGATTCATTAAAAAAATTAATACAAAACTAATAAGACTTTTAAGATATAATGAAATTCACTCTTTTGCCAAGTTGTTCTGTTTGTGTATTAATAAGGTAAAATATCTAACTGGAGAGAGTAATGAAGAATGTTGCAGAAAGAGAACCAGAGATTAGAACTATCTGCGCGTGAAGAGGCTGTAAGCTTGATGAATCTTCTAGGAAGAGTTATGGAAATAAAGAACATTTGCTGAATAAAAAGGGAGATTTTATATTTCATTTTTAATAAAATATTTAGCGTTTAATGTAGAAACACAGTGTTGCATGTAAACTTAGCCAGGGTTTAAACTATAATTTCAATTTGAAATACTTCAAATGCTAAACACAAATAACCCGCACATAGAAGAGAGAAGTTTACAACGACGTTTCAGTCCAACTTGGACAATGAAAGCCACATTTACAAAGTCACACTGAGTAAATGGTCCAAGTCGGACCGGAACGTTTCCGTAAGCTCCTTTCTTCTATTTGTTCATTGTTCCAGTCACGGTATTATGCCTCTTTGTTATTTTCAAATGCTAAAGTTAAACATCTAGTCAGTTTCTTGGAAAGAAAAAAATTAACAAATGAAAAAAAATGTATATAATAAAAATTATGAGATAGACATGAAATCCACACTTCCTTGTGGTTTTGGTATATATTACTATTTCTGTCTCTTAATTTCTTTGATTGGGATTAATTGTATTCATTAAATGAAAGAATAATTTTTGTGGATATTGAGTGATAATGTTGATTTATCCAAGAAATATCTCAGGGGAGAAAAATTTGGTCTGTGAACACCCACGTGTACCTCTATATTGTATGATTTTGAGCAACGATATTATTTTTGAGTTTTACTGAGAAGTATTCTATTCTTGAATAGAGGAATAACCTTAAATGTGTGTGGTTATGGTTGTGTTTGTGTGTGTGTGTGTGTGTGTGTGTGTACTCACTTAATTGCACTCACCTAATTGTGGTTGCAAGGGTCGAGTCCTAGCTCCTGGCCCCGCCTCTTCACCGGTTGCTACTAGACCCTATCTCTCCCCGCTCCATGAGCTTTATCAAACCTCGTCTTAAAACTGTGTATGGTTCCTGCCTCCACTACGTCATTTTCTAGGCTATTCCACTGCCTTACAACTCTATGACTGAAGAAATACTTCCTACTATCTCTCTGACTCATTTGTGTCTTCAACTTCCAATTGTGGCCTCTTGTTTCTGTGTCCCCTCCCTGGAACATCCTGTCCTTGTCCACCTTGTCTATTCCACGCAGTATTTTATATGTCGTTATCATGTCTCCCCTGACCCTCCTGTCCTCCAGTGTCGTCAGGCCGATTTCCCTTAATCTTTCTTCATAGGACATTCCCCTTAGCTCTGGAACTAACCTTGTTGCAAACCTTTGTACTTTCTCTAGTTTCTTGACGTGCTTTATCAAGTGTGGGTTCCAAACAGGTGCTGCATACTCCAGTATGGGCCTGACATACACGGTGTACAGTGTCTTGTGTGTGTGTGTGTGTGTGTGTACTCACTTAATTGCACTCACCTAATTGTGGTTGCAAGGGTCGAGACTCAGCTCCTGGCCCCGCCTCTTCACTGAGTGTTAATAGGTCCTGTCTCTCTCCCCCTGCTCCATGAGCAGGGTTTCCTGCCTACACTACATCACTTGCAGAACTATTCCATTTCCTAACACCTCCGTGGCTGAAGACATACTTCTTAACATCCCTTTGACTCATCTGAGTCCTCAGCTTCCAATTGTGACCCTTTGTTTCTGTGTCCCATCTCTGGAACATCCTGTCTCTGTCCACCTTGTCTATTCCCCGCAGTATTTTGGATGTCGTTATCATGTCTCCCCTAACCCTCCTGTCCTCCAATGTCGTCGGACCGATTTCCCTTAACCTTTCTTCATAGCACATTCCCCTTAGCTTTGGAACTAGCCTTGTTGCAAACCTTTGCACTTTCTCTAATTTCTTGACTGGTGCTGCGTACTCCAGTAAGGGCCTGACGTACACAGTGTATAAAGTCTTGAACGATTCCTTACTAAGGTACCGGAATGCTATTCTCAGGTTTGCCAAGCGCACATATGCCGCAGCAGTTATCTGGTTAATGTGTGCTTCTGGCAACGTACTTGGTATTATACTCACTCCTAGATCTTTCTCCTTGAGTGAGATTTGCAGTCTTTGGCCTCCTAGCCTATACTCTGTCTGCGGTCTTCTTTTCCCTTCTCCGATCTTCATGACTGCATTTGAAGATTGAGACACTTATGCAGAATATGGGAATCTTTATTCAGGAAACGTTTCGCCACACAGTGGCTTCTTCAGTCCAATACAAAGAGGAAGGCATAAGGAGAGGAGGAGAATGAGGTAATCAGTCCCTCAACCTGGAGTCGATGTGTTCAGTCCATCAATCTTGTAGAATGTACAGCATAGGGCCGTAGACGTGGCTTATATACTGTAGAGATGTGAGGTGAAGCAGGTTGAGGGACTGATTACCTCATTCTCCTCCTCTCCTTATGCCTTCCTCTTTGTATTGGACTGAAGAAGCCACTGTGTGGCGAAACGTTTCCTGAATAAAGATTCCCATATGCTGCATAAGTGTCTCAATCTTCAACTTGTCGGTTTTTCAAACCATTCATCACAACTGTCAGACACTGCAGCATCATGGGATCTTGTTACAAAGAATTCTTCTACACTTGTTCAACCTTTGGACGAAGACCTACTTCGACTAATGGATGGTACCACTATGACCCCGCCTCCGCCTGCTTCACCTCACATCTCTACAGTATATAAGCCACGTCTACGGCCCTATGCTGTACGTTCTACAAGATTGATGGACTGAACACATCGACTCCAGGTTGAGGGACTGATTACCTCATTCTCCTCCTCTCCTTATGCCTTCCTCTTTGTATTGGACTGAAGAAGCCACTGTGTGGCGAAACGTTTCCTGAATAAAGATTCCCATATGCTGCATAAGTGTCTCAATCTTCAACTTGTCGGTTTTTCAAACCATTCATCATGACTGCATTTGGCGGGGTTAAATTCTAGGAGCCAGTTTCTGGACCACACATCCAGCCTGTCCAGGTCTCTTTGTAGACCTGTCCGGTCCGCATCTGATTTAATTCTCCTCATTAACTTCACATCATCTGCAAACAGGGACGCTTCTGAGTCTATCCCTTCCGTCATGTCGTTCACATATACCAAGAATAGCACTGGTCCTAGGACTGGCCCCTGTGGGACCCCGCTCGTCACAGGCGCCCACTGTGTGTGTGTGTGTGTGTGTGTGTATGTACTCACCTAGTTGAGGTTGCGGGGGTCGAGTCCGAGCTCCTGGCCCCGCCTCTTCACTGATCGCTACTAGGTCACTCTCCCTGAGCCCTGAGCTTTATCATACCTCTGCTTAAAGCTATGTATGGATCCTGCCTCCACTACATCGCTTCCCAAACTATTCCACTTACT